GGGGTGGGGCTCGCTGCCTTCACGCGGGTCCCGCGGGCAGCCCGGGGCGAACCCCCGCCCAGCTGGGCTCCTGGCCCAGCCCCGGGTGTCGCTGCGGTGCGCTCGCCCGCTGCCGCCTGCGCTGTGCCAGGGGAGGTGGTGCGGGCGCTGCCCGGGCTCGCGGGGAGGCCGAGGCCAGTTCTAGTTCTCCAGGGCACCGTTGGCAGGAGGAAAGCAGGGTCCGGGGAGATCAAGGCCTGTCAAAGCAGGAAGTGGGGGGTCAGCGTCGCTTGCCTCGCGTGGGAAGTATTCAGGAGCTGGGCAGACAAGGGTCTTCCGGTAAATGCAATCTCTTTTATGACACCAACTAAATAGTTGGAAATTTTTTTCTTAGCAAGCGTTCAGGTTTAAAATCCATCGTGGGGCCATAAATCCCATACCGATGTTTCGTCCTTGGTTTGTAGTGTCATGGTATCATAGTGCTTAGGGTTGGAAGAGATCTAAACAGATTGTCAGGTCCAACCGTCTGCCCCAGGGCAGGAACAGGTGCCGGGATCATATCACCCCAGCCAAATATCTGTCCAGCCTCCTCTTGAAGACCCCCAGGGTAGGAGAGAGCACCACCTCCCTTGGGAGTCCATTCCAGAGCCAGGCAGCCCTAACTGTACAGTAACGTCTCCTGATGTCCAGCCTGAACCTTCTCTCTAACAATTTGTGGCCGTATTCCTAGTAACCCCGGGTGGTGCCAGGGGGAACAGAGCCTCCCCCAATTCTTGCTGGTCCCCCCTGGTGAGTTTGTAAAGAGGCACCAGATGCCCTCTCAGCCTTCTCTTATGGAGGCTGAATAGATTCAGGTCCTTTACCCTCTCTTCATAGAGCCTGCCCCACCGCCCCTGGACCATGCGAGTGGCCCTTCTCTGGACCCTCTCAATGCTAGCCACATCCCTCTTGAAGTGCAGCACCCAGAACTGGACGCAGTACTCCAACTGCAGCCTGACCAATGCTGTATAGAGGGGAAGGATCACCTCCTTGGACCTGCTCGTGATGCATCTGTAGATGCACGACAAGGTGCAGTTAGCCTTACTGACTGCTTCCTCACATTGGCAGCTCATGTCCATCCTGGAGTCAACTATGACTCCAAGATCCCTTTCCGCCACCAAGATCCCTTTCCATTGACAAGAAGGGTATTCCCCAGCCTATAGCTGTGTTGCTCGTTCCTTCTCCCTAGATGCAGCACTTTGCACTTGTCTGCGTTGAATTCCATCCTATTCTCATCCGCCCACCCTTGTAACCTGTCTAGATCTAGCTGGATTCTGTCCCTCCTCTCCAGCATGCTCACCTTGTCCCACAACTTGGTCCAGCCAACTCATGAAGTTTTATTCCCAAGTTCATGTTTGGAAGGGGGTGGGTAGACTTCCTTTGAGCACAAGGACAGCAAGGTCGGTGACAGCGCAGTTGTTCATGGTCGCATCTTTTTCTAAAACCCAGTCTGCATAAACACCCCCAGACCGGCAGATTGATATCACCCTTTTTCTGACCATCTCGCTGTCCTTGGCCAGGTTTCCACTTTGACAAAACTTGCAGCTGTTTGCTCGGCTTTAACTGGTCCGTGACTTGTTAGTGCCCTTGGTTGCTAGGGAAGTTGTACAGTCCTGCATGAAGTAGCTCCTCTGCAGGCTTTGTGGCCCCCATGCCGTGGCAACTTCTCACCTTTCCAGCTGGATCTCTACCGAAATCGTGGACCTTCTAACCCTGGGGAGAAGAGGCATCAGCAGTTTGGACGACAGGGCGAAATGCAACCTGTTTAAGTTTGCTGATGATACCAAAATTTGGGGTGA